GGAGGGGTGGAGGGGTGGGGGAGGGTGCCCCTGTGTGGCCGACCTGTCCCTCTGGCGGCCTGGGGTGTGCAGTGACTGGGACCTGCTGGGTGTGGTGGTGGGTGATGCGAAGAGGGCGGAGCTTGTGGGACCTCGGGCTCCTGAGTATGTGCATGGCTATGGGGAAGCTCCGGAAAAATCCCCGACCTTGGCCTGGGTTCCAGAACAATCTGAGTGCTTTTGCCTTTTCAACTCCTTTGTGTCTCACAACCACCGCCCGGCATTTTATAGGAGGGGACCTGAGGCACCGCCAAGGGGGGTCCAGGACTTATTCAAGGCCAGACACTGGGGTCAGACCCAGATTCAAAACCGACCTGTCCCGGCCCCCAGCCCCCAGCAGTCTCTGAGCGTCCTCAGTGCGTCCCTGTGTGATGTGTTGTGAAGTCCTGACTCTGCGGCCGGCAGGGCGTTTCACCTTAAGGCCTGAAAGAAGGTGAATGAAGCCGTGTTTGCGTTTGGGGAAGAGTGAGTCCCACTCAGCCCTGGCCACTCTCCATCCTCCTCCTGGTCTCAGGTGGCTGCCGGAGTCATCCCGATGGCTCCTCCTCCACGGCAAGTCCCAGCGAGCTGTGCAGAACCTGCGGAAGGTGGCCGCCATGAACGGGAGAAAGGCGGAAGGGGAGAGGCTGACCCAGGAGGTAGGTGGATGGGCGGGAGGAAGGGCGCTGATGGCCTCCAGATGTGCTAGGATTTACTTAGTAGCTCCCCCGGGACTCACCCACCATCCAGGTGAAGAGGCTGGGAGTAAACAGAGCGGGAAGAGGCCGTGCAGCAAAGGTGTTAACCATTGAATGGCTGTGCGGTCCGGGATAAAAATGTCAGCCGCTTTGTCCATCAGACTCACACTGACATCCAGCCAAAATGTAAACAAAATAACAAAATGAAAATATTAAAATAGCGATCATGAAGTAAAATTATTGAAGAATTGGTAATAAAAGTGCCATTTATTATAAATAAGTACCATTTATCGAGCCCTATGCTAGGCACTATGTATGCTAAGACCTTTTTACGTACATGACCTCATTTATTTTTTTATTTTTTAAATATATTTTTATTTTTATTTTTTTTAAATATATTTTATTGATTTTTTTTACAGAGAGGAAGGGAGAG